CGGGGTACCGACCAGGTCGAAAGCTGATTTGTATCGCGGGTTACCGACTAGGTTGAAAACTGCATAGTTTCGCGGGTTACCGACCAGGTTGAAAGCTGTATAGTTTCACGGGTTACCGACCAGGTTGAAAGCTGATTTGTATCGCGGGTTACCGACTAGGTTGAAAACTGCATAGTTTCGCGGGTTACCGACCAGGTTGAAAGCTGTATAGTTTCACGGGATACCGACCAGGTTGAAAGCTGATTTGTATCGCGGGTTACTGACCAGGTTGAAAGCTGATTTGTTTCGCGGGTTACCGATTAGGTCGAAAGCTGATTTGTATCGCGAGTTACAGACTAGGTTGAAAGCTGATTTATTTCGCGGGGTACCGACCAGGTCGAAAGCTGATTTGTATCGCGGGTTACCGACTAGGTTGAAAACTGCATAGTTTCGCGGGTTACCGACCAGGTTGAAAGCTGTATAGTTTCACGGGTTACCGACCAGGTTGAAAGCTGATTTGTATCGCGGGTTACCGACTAGGTTGAAAACTGCATAGTTTCGCGGGTTACCGACCAGGTTGAAAGCTGTATAGTTTCACGGGTTACCGACCAGGTTGAAAGCTGATTTGTATCGCTGGTTACTGACCAGGCTGAAAGCTGGTTTGTTTCGCGGGTTACCGATTAGGTCGAAAGCTGATTTGTATCGCGAGTTACAGACTAGGTTGAAAGCTGATTTATTTCGCGGGGTACCGACCAGGTTGAAAGCTGATTTGTTTCGCGGGTTACCGACCAGGTCGATAATTGTTAGAGGTTATCTTACATGCTTACCGTTGTTAATAACGTTTTCAACAATTTCACTTAATTAGTTTGGAGTTTCACTGTTTAGTATTTTATACGTTTGTCTCATACGCTTATTAGGTGACCCCTCCTTTTTAATCCTATAATTATCATCAGGGATGAAAAGTGTATGTTACACAGGTATATCTAGGGATGAAAGGTGTATGTTACACAGGTATATCTAGGGATGAAAAGTGTATGTCACACAGGTATATCTAGGGATGAAAAGTGTATGTTAAACAGGTATATCTAGGGATGAAGGGTTTATGTTACACAGGTATATCTAGGGATGAAAAGTGTATGTTACAGAGGTATATCTAGGGATGAAAGGTGCATGTTACAGAGATATATCTAGGGATGAAAAATGTATGTTACACAGGTATATCTAGGGATGAAAAATGTATGTTACACAGGTATATCTAGGGATGAAAAATGTATGTTACACATCTATAACAAGGGATGAAAAATGTATGTTACACAGGTATATCTAGGGATGAAAAATGTATGTTACACATCTATAACAAGGGATGAAAAGTGTATGTTACACAGGTATATCTAGGGATGAAAAGTGTATGTTAAACAGGTATATCTAGGGATGAAAAGTGTATGTTACACAGGTATATTTAAGGATGAAAAGTGTATGTTACACAGGTATATCTAGGGATGAAAAATGTATGTTACACAGGTATATTTAGGGATGAAAAGTGTATGTTAAACAGGTATATCTAGGGATGAAGGGTTTATGTTACACAGGTATATCTAGGGATGAAAAGTGTATGTTACACAGGTATATCTAGGGATGAAAAATGTATGTTACACAGGTATATCTAGGGATGAAAAATGTATGTTACACAGGTATATCTAGGGATGAAGAATGTATGTTACACAGGTATATCTAGGGATGAAAAGTGTATGTTAAACAGGTATATCTAGGGATGAAAAGTGTATGTTACACAGGTATATCTAGGGATGAAAAGTGTATGTTACACAGGTATATCTAGGGATGAAAAGTGTATGTTACACAGGTATATCTAGGGATGAAAAGTGTATGTTACACAGATATATCTAGGGATGAAAAATGTATGTTACACAGGTATATCTAGGGATGAAAAGTGTATGTTACACAGGTATATCTAGGGATGAAAAATGTATGTTACACAGGTATATCTAGGGATGAAGGGTGTATGTTACAGTGATATATCTAGGGATGAAAAATGGATGTTCCACAGGTATATCTAAGGATGAAAAGTGTATGTCACACAGGTATATCTAGGGATGAAAAGTGTATGTTACACAGGTATATCTAGGGATGAAAAATGGATGTTACACAGGTATATCTAGGGATGAAAAGTGTATGTTACACAGGTATATCAAGGGATGAAAAGTGTATATCACACAGGTATATCTAGGGATGTAAAGTGTATGTTACACAGGTATATCTAGGGATGAAAAATGGATGTTACACAGGTATATCTAGGGATGAAGGGTGTATGTTACACAGGTATATCTAGGGATGAAAGGTGTATGTTACACAGGTATATCTAGGGATGAAAAGTGTATGTTACAGAGATATATCTAGGGATGAAAGGTGTATGTTAAACAGGTATATCTAGGGATGAAAAGTGTATGTTACACAGGTATATCAAGGGATGAAAAGTGTATATCACACAGGTATATCTAGGGATGTAAAGTGTATGTTACACAGATATATCTAGGGATGTTAAGTGTATGTTACACAGGTATATCTAGGGATGAAAAGTGTATGTCTCACAGGTATATCTAGGGATGTAAATGTATGTTACACAGGTATATCTAGGGATGTAAAGTGTATGTTACACAGGTATATCTAGGGATGTAAAGTGTATGTTACACAGGTATATCTAGGGATGAAAAGTGTATGTTACACAGGTATATCTAGGGATGAAAAGTGTATGTTACACAGGTATACCTAGGGATGAAAAGTGTATATCACACAGGTATATCTAGGAATGAAAAGTGTATGTCACACAGGTATATCTAGGGATGTAAAGTGTATGTTACACAGGTATATCTAGGGATGAAAAGTGTATGTTACAGAGATATATCTAGGGATGTAAAGTGTATGTTACACAGGTATATCTAGGGATGAAAAGTGTATGTCACACAGGTATATCTAGGGATGAAAAGTGTATGTCACACAGGTATATCTAGGGATGAAAAGTGTATGTTACACAGGTATATCTAGGGATGTAAAGTGTATGTTACACAGGTATATCTAGGGATGAAAAGTGTATGTCACACAGGTATATCTAGGGATGGATGTAAAGTGTATGTATGTCACACAGGTATATCTAGGGATGTAAAGTGTATGTTACACAGGTATATCTAGGGATGAAAAGTGTATGTCACACAGGTATATCTAGGGATGAAAAGTGTATGTCACACAGGTATATCTAGGGATGTAAAGTGTATGTTACACAGGTATATCTAGGGATGAAAAGTGTATGTCACACAGGTATATCTAGGGATGAAAAGTGTATGTCACACAGGTATATCTAGGGATGAAAAGTGTATGTCACACAGGTATATCTAGGGATGAAAAGTGTATGTCACACAGGTATATCTAGGGATGTAAAGTGTATGTCACACAGGTATATCTAGGGATGAAAAGTGTATGTCACACAGGTATATCTAGGGATGAAAAGTGTATGTCACACAGGTATATCTAGGGATGAAAAGTGTATGTCACACAGGTATATCTAGGGATGAAAAGTGTATGTTACACAGGTATATCTAGGGATGTAAAGTGTATGTTACACAGGTATATCTAGGGATGAAAAGTGTATGTCACACAGGTATATCTAGGGATGAAAAGTGTATGTCACACAGGTATATCTAGGGATGAAAAGTGTATGTCACACAGGTATATCTAGGGATGAAAAGTGTATGTCACACAGGTATATCTAGGGATGAAAAGTGTATGTCACACAGGTATATCTAGGGATGTAAAGGTATGTATGTTACACAGGTATATCTAGGGATGAAAAGTGTATGTCACACAGGTATATCTAGGAATGAAAAGTGTATGTCACACAGGTATATCTAGGGATGAAAAGTGTATGTCACACAGGTATATCTAGGGATGAAAAGTGTATGTCACACAGGTATATCTATGTATGAAAAGTGTATGTCACACTGGTATATCTGAAAAGTGTATGTCACACAGGTATATCTAGGGATGTAAAGTGTATGTCACACAGGTATATCTAGGGATGAAAAGTGTATGTCACACAGGTATATCTAGGGATGAAAAGTGTATGTCACACAGGTATATCTAGGGATGTAAAGTGTATGTCACACAGGTATATCTAGGGATGAAAAGTGTATGTCACACAGGTATATCTAGGAATGAAAAGTGTATGTCACACAGGTATATCTAGGGATGTAAAGTGTATGTCACACAGGTATATCTAGGGATGAAAAGTGTATGTCACACAGGTATATCTAGGAATGAAAAGTGTATGTCACACAGGTATATCTAGGGATGTAAAGTGTATGTCACACAGGTATATCTAGGGATGAAAAGTGTATGTCACACAGGTATATCTAGGGATGAAAAGTGTATGTCACACAGGTATATCTAGGGATGAAAAGTGTATGTCACACAGGTATATCTAGGGATGAAAAGTGTATGTCACACAGGTATATCTAGGGATGAAAAGTGTATGTCACACAGGTATATCTAGGGATGTAAAGTGTATGTTACACAGGTATATCTAGGGATGAAAAGTGTATCCATTGGTTGAATACACATTTAAGAAATGTTAAGCTCTAAAAATTACTAGTTTGTTTTTAATTTATTTTCGTTGTATGCAGAAAAATGCTACCTTTCCAATTTTCCAATCATAAATGATGCTACGTGTCGTGTATATATATGATACAGTCTCAAATCTGAGTAAATTTCATCCAAGTCGAAATAATTAGCGATGTTTTACTGTGATGTTGCAGAAAAGAGTTCATATTTCGCTATACCTTCACGGACATCACACTGTATTCAAGTATTGTGCAAGCTATGTTCTTTATGAATATGATTAGCCGATCCGTTATATGCCGGTAACATATTATGTTGTCATCATACTTTGTATAAAGAAAAGTTTTTAAAAAATAACTTTAACACACTTCTAAGTAATAAAATTAACATAAATATAGTGTTGTACCAACATCTTTTTAATATCTATACAATATTATACATAAAAAATCGTTATGTTTGTAAAAAAAATAATAATTGGTAGTACAACTTGTAAACTGCAAAACTTTACAGTTGTTAGTTGTATGTAGATAAATATACATCTATGTGTGTAAATATTCAGCTACAGTTAGAACGAACGTTTGTATGAATTTTGGAAAAGGCTGTGTTTTCCTCACAAAACTATACTTCAACAAAATTATTCCTGTACTATCAAAATAATATTCTAGTTTGTACTGAAGGGATTCACCACATTTTTGTTTTACAAAGAGAGTTTTGAAACTACATGGGAGTTTTGTGAAATAACCTTTAAACAGAAACCGCCAATCTTCTACGTAATACAGGATCTATCCAAAATTAGATCCGGAAATGTGGTCCGTCACCATCTTATAGGGAAACTATACTTCCCCGTACAATTTGAATTGTGATGATACTAGGATCCTTCTGTAGTTTTAAGACAAACATCATTGTTGAATATGAATTTAACCTCTCCGCAAACCTTGTCAAATTGCATATTTCTGGAAGACTCCAAACTTATTTTAGCTATTATCGAGAGAGAGAGTTATACCCTAACAATATCTATTTGGTTGCTGTAATACTTGGTGTAACGAAATAGTATATGTAAGCCCTTTTATACTTATTTGTTTTAAAGGTTCTCATTGGTCGATACTAACCCACAAAGACAGATGAAGATTGCGACAAGGCAGAGTATAGACTGATGAAAGCGGTGATGCTAGACCGCGATGTGTTCACATCTTATGTTACTCGGACCCATTTGCTTCCCAATATGTGTTAGTCTCATTCCTCCCGTTTCAGCAGCATACAACAACGGAACCTTAAGGCAAACTAACAAACTTCAAACGCGTCCAGCTCCATTTCGCACAAATGAATAGAATATTTCTCAATGAGATCATTATGAAGACCGAAAAACTTCCTTCTAAGTTTGCTCAACCTGCATTTACGAAACCCCGTGTGGTGCCTTTGTCAGTTATCGACATCTTGCCCGAAAATTGTATTATTGAGAACATACCTTTGATAGCGAATCAACTGCGACAAATAAACACAATAAGTTGGGGATGAAGAAATGTTGTTTTCAAGAAATATAAAAGTCACTTAAGTCAAAGTGAAATCATCACGTTTCTCTTCTTCACCGATGTTAAACCTTAGCGATACAAAAATAACTTGCTTTGATAGATAGTTAATGAAATGTTAAAATGTTTAATTTGTGTCTATAATTTAACTTATGACCTATTTCAGTGGTGACGTAGACAATAAACGTAGGTGACTTGCAGGTTTTTGTCACGTATCAGTGATCACCACATATTCTCTGGTAGTGTTTAACGTCGATACATAATCATACGTCAATGGCCTGTTTTGGATTTCAGTGTAATGATTTGCTTCTCTGATGGGATTCAAGCGATCGTAGTTGGTGTCCACATTAGGATCAGGAACTTGATTAACGATTTCCCGGGAACTAACGGTACTTTTTCGGTGTTTAAAGATACAAAAAGTTGTAAACGCGGTGAACACGATGATTATTCCTCCTACTAGTCCTATCAGAAGTGATGTCACGTTCAGATCATGGGATGTCGTGTTTACAGCATACGCATGTGTAGATGTTTCCAAAACATTTGTAAAGTTAGTCGTGCTTGTTTCGTTTATCAAACCAACTCCAGTACCTTCATTTGGTGATATTTCACAAAGTAAAGACAGTCGTGAATCACATGGCTTTATATTCTTCTTAAGTTTACCATTCAGGTCAACTGTAACAGATACACAATCGAAGTCACTTTCTCTCTTGAGCTGGCCTCCCCATTGGAACATGCCCTTACGAAATATGCCTACCCAGTGTTGACCTTCATACGGGTTTCTAATATCTAAACGTCCGTTGTAGAATTGGGAGGTGTAGTTTCTATAACAGGTGAATCCAGCTTCTGTCCAGTTCTTTGTCTGCTGATGAAGCACTACTTCATCGTCATCACTTTTTTGACAAAGAAACGTATGATGATTGCTGCAATGATTTGTCACCAATCTTCCATCACCACGGCTTAAGTTGATGGTTTTGCAATTTCCGGTCTTATTATCTCTTTCCAAATCCAATATTTCATAAACACAGATACAAACTTTTTTGGCGAAAATGACACTTCCACAAAATGCATCAGAATCGTGTGGACATGTAGAGGTTTCACAAAAGGCCTCCTCGCCGGAAAAATTTGCAGAAAAACAGACACAGCGCTCTGATGTTAATCCGAAGGTTGATCCGTTACAGTACGAACTACACCCTGCTGTATCAAAAGTTCCTACGATTGATACTAAGTTTCTTATGTCAATCAGAAAACAGCCCGTTAGTCTTATCCATTTGGTGTACAGGACGTGCGCTGCTATCCAATATTCTTGATAAAATGTGCTGTTTGTACGTTTTTTTGACAAATAATCCGCGCGGACATCATTTAAGTTTTCGTCGATAAATTCCTCTCCAAGCAGACGACAGCCGGGTTGACTGAATCCATCTTTCCAAGAAAAGTCACCATATAAAAAATTGACGCTCTTTTGAATTACGCAAAACCCGACGAACCAGTGTATTGAAAATATCACGACAAGGTGATTCGTGTTCATTGTGTGATCTATACAAGTAGATTGTTAATTCTAACACTGCCTCGACATACAGTATTGTTTCTTGTAGCAGGTGACGATACATTATGATATCATCATGACGAGAGTTCATATGGTTCTTATAATATCCGATAACATCCGGAGTCGTGTCTGCTTGACGAAGATAATTTATTACTAATGCTTTAAAGTGAAGTGGTAGTAAGTGTAGTGGTCATCGTCATCATTTCCGATATAAATTTAAATCTAGCCATGCACAGAAAACTGATTACAATGTGCCGTATCAAGACATACACATAGATAGGATGCTATCTTTTTCAGCATATGTTTCCTGAACATGGTCATCATGTCCAAAAGTAGTCACTTTCTTGTGCATTTAAATTTATTTTGAGATCAGAATAACTCACTATTTGTCATTCATTTCAATATATATCACTTCAAGAGGTCGCCATTATATGCTCCACCAGTCACATTGCGAAGTTTAGGATTCATTTCAAACGATATTACAGATAAATAACTAAATCTTATTGAATCACTTGCATTTTTACAAGATCTAGGACGCTTTATAATTTTGTCGATACACACTATTCTCATGTTGTTGATCGATAGCGTATACATTGAATACAGAGAATGCAAGACCAGTGTCTAAATATAAGTTGTATGTGTTGCTGCTTTAACACAATACTCCTAAAAGTCGTCTCGGCTCTACTATTCTTCATATAGAGGTGAATTTGGAGTTGTAGACCTGACTTGATGAGTTCAATTTTCGTAAGATTCCAATATGTAAAATAGAGCAATTTTATTAAATCATAAACATTCTTTAGTGAAGAGGGGTCCATTTTGTATAAATGAGAGGGTTCTCGGTCCCATAGGACTGAAGGGACGGAGCCCAACATTCGGAGTAAAGGAATTATTAAAATTCTTCAGTAGAAATGTAAGCATTCTGTCCGAATTTGGTCTGAAGCATCCCTGATTATAGCGGATTTAATGTTGTGAACTTTACATGAATGGTTTGGCTGGTTTCAGGTAGCAGGAAACAGTTAATTTGCATTTTTCCTGAAATCATTGGTCATGTTTATATTTATAAACTACATAACAATTAAATTAATAGTAGAGAGATGAAATTTGTGTAAATAAAAAATTTCCACTGATTTCAGACATTTGATTGTCATGGTTACCTACTCAAAAAATGCTAAAAGTGCCGAAAATACTGCTAATTCCTACCTTACACAACTTTCTAGAAGAAATTTAATTCTGAACACATATCTTAAAATCAACAACGCTATCGTGGTAACAGAGTACTTACATTTCAGCAAATTCCAACTCAGAAATCCTTCATAACATGACCACATGTAAACACTATGAAAATTTCACTTCCTGTAAAGCTGGTTTTTGGTGCGTAGATACAGATTCGAGACTGCACAACACAAAGCTAAAATATTATTCTGAAAAAAATGAAACCTACATTGTCCACTTTAACATGACAAGACCAATTTTAGCAAGGTTTTATTTTTTTAAATTTTAATTAAAACCTTTATAATGGGGTAATCTAATGAACAAAAAAAACCACCCATGGCTACCTCAAGGGGGCATAATGAGGAAACAGATAGAAACCTATAGAATTAATTTTCCTTTAGTTAGGAAGAGCAATTTTAGTCACACAATGCCAGATCAGCGATATAGGCCCTGTGGTTTTGAACAATTTAATGAACTAGTGTAAATAGGATGGGTTGAATTAAGATTGTTATAAAGAGGTTAACTTGTCATATTCTTGTGTGATGTGAAATACTCATTCTCATTTTCCTTTCCAGTCATTTTTGCACATTTGTCACACTTTTTACTCATTATGAATTATTATGCAAAACGAAAGTCACCTTGAATGATATATGTTGTAATATGATGACAAACGATAACAAAACAGGAACAACGGAACTCTATTGAATTTGGTTTTAAAAGTTTTTCAGTAATCCTACCATCTCGAGTAACGCCACCTCAGGACCAATAGGACCACAATCTCATATAACATCATCTTGGCAGCCATCTTATTTTATGGGCAGCCATCTTGAATGAGACATTTTGGATGGAAAAGTAACCTCCGAGAATAATTCAGTTTGATGCATTATATCATAAGGATGTTTGCTTTTTACCTAATTTCTGTCAGGATCATTACTAGTGGCAAACACATGCAGCTAGCTTCAGAGATCATGTAACTTTTTTGTGAAAGACGTACAATTTGTAATTCTGGTGAGTCACTGCATGAGTGACCTATGTACTGGACCAATTGGTACTTTGCGTAAGGGCCAATCAGATGGGCGTTCCCAGCTAGGAAATGTGTGTGTCTTTCAATACGTACTTGAAACCCTACTCCTACGTCCCTCTAACTTCCTCGTTTATATTTATATAAACCGATACATATTAGGATTTTGTATGTTTAGGTATATATACACAGTATGCATTACTTAGTATCACAATGTATCAATATAAGCTCAAATCCATGATGTTATAACTCCAAATAAGATATCATCTACTTTTAATCAACCAACACAAAGCCGCTGTAATGTTTTTAATAGCGATATTCCATACGGCTATTCTGATATTTAATTGATAAGTATTTCGTGAAGACTTATTTTAAAGTCAGACTCGATAATTTTGCACTTCCTCGTCACGATTCTTTCTATCAATATTGGTTTTCGTCAGTCTTCTCCTGGGATCTGGTTTTGGGTCCTTGTCGCCACTGACGAGTCCTTAGATTTGGTTTTGGGTCCTTGTCGCCACTGACGAGTCCTAAGATTTGGTTTTGGGTCCTTGTCGCCACTGACGAGTCCTAATATTTGGTTTTGGGTCCTTGTCGCCACTGACGAGTCCTAAGATTTGGTTTTGGGTCCTTGTCGCCACTGACGAGTCCTAAGATTTGGTTTTGGGTCCTTGTCGCCACTGACGAGTCCTAAGATTTGGTTTTGGGTCCTTGTCGCCACTGACGAGTCCTAAGATTTGGTTTTGGGTCCTTGTCGCCACTGACGAGTCCTAAGATTTGGTTTTGGGTCCTTGGCGCCACTGACGAGTCCTAAGACTTGGTTTTGGGTCCTTGGCGTCACTGACGAGTCCTAAGATTTGGTTTTGGGTCCTTGTCGCCACTGACGAGTCCTAAGATTTGGTTTTGGGTCCTTGGCGTCACTGACGTCACTGACGAGTCCCAAGATTTGGTTTTGGGTCCTTGGCGCCACTGACGAGTCCTAAGATTTGGTTTTGGGTCCTTGGCGCCACTGACGAGTCCCAAGATTTGGTTTTGGGTCCTTGGCGCCACTGACGAGTCCTAAGATTTGGTTTTGGGTCCTTGGCGTCACTGACGAGTCCTAAGATTTGGTTTTTGGTCCTTGGCGCCACTGACGAGTCCTAAGATTTGGTTTTGGGTCCTTGGCGCCACTGACGAGTCCCAAGATTTGGTTTTGGGTCCTTGGCGTCACTGACGAGTCCTAAGATTTGGTTTTGGGTCCTTGGCGCCACTGACGAGTCCCAATATTTGGTTTTGGGTCCTTGGCGCCACTGACGAGTCCCAATATTTGGTTTTTGGTCCTTGGCGCCACTGACGAGTCCTAAGATTTGGTTTTGGGTCCTTGGCGCCACTGACGAGTCCCAATATTTGGTTTTGGGTCCTTGGCGCCACTGATGAGTCCTAAGATTTGGTTTTGGGTCCTTGGCGTCACTGACGAGTCCTAAGATTTGGTTTTGGGTCCTTGGCGTCACTGACGAGTCCTAAGATTTGGTTTTGGGTCCTTTGCCACTGACGTCATTTGGTTTTGGGTCCTTGGCGTCACTGACGAGTCCTAAGATTTGGTTTTGGGTCCTTGGCGCCACTGACGAGTCCCAAGATTTGGTTTTGGGTCCTTGGCGCCACTGACGAGTCCTAAGATTTGGTTTTACTGTATTCTTGATTTGTATTGAAATCTGTTATTCACTTGCGTGTCTTTTGTTCAACCTCCCAACACTATATGCTGAACCATGGAATACAAATTTCCACTCGCATGACCACATGTTGTGTCACTGAGTGTTGTACGATAAAACACTAGCATTACTTTCATTATCCAGTATATCTTCATCATTACATCTAAACATATACGAACATTTATTCTAAATCTGCGATCTGAAGTCTTTATCAATCATTATTAACTCACAAAACGGATATTCGAATACCAAATTTTCTGCCTCCATGCATTTCGTTTCTTAAATTGCTTTATAATTTCATACTTAAACATTAAGCATTATCTGTCAGTTTATATTTGGATTATATAACCAATATAACATCGCTCAACAGTACACTACGTATACAGCTGGACTGCCATGTCGTACCCTTCCGGAACACCTGGTCTCATTCTGTTTGTAATTTTCCCATTTTCTTTTCGCCATCTTTTACTCTAATCGACATCGAGTGTTATTTAAGATTCTGTTCACATGTCGGTATTTTTATTGTTGTCCTAAATAAAATATCTGGGTTTTATGATGACACTGATGTCGTTCAATGGGTCATTACAAATCAATTTTATACCAACTTGTGACCTGAGTGTATCTAATTCCTACTGGTCAAAGAAATTAGAAAAAAATCACTTTTCATACATTCTGTGGGTAAGTAGCCAGCGAAACATTGAGCAGTGAATTTGTTCTTCGCTGTTAAGTCATATCTTTAATAAAGGTACTTAATGAGAACTTAAGAAACATTCTCTTGAACACAATTTAAACGAAATCAACAAACGAGAATATTTTTCATATATAGATAGTTACAAAAAATGGGCGTTTCTTTTGCTTGTATGCGTTTCTCTTGCAACATCTGTAACATTCGACATGAAATCCTTATTCACAAAGCCTGTAAGATCCTCCTCCACATGATGTTTACTATCACATATTTGTAACGACATAACAGCATTCCTTACTCATTGGCTTTAGCTGAGATCAACTTTAATTATACACACCAATGATATCATCAGTTTCACTTGAATTGTTAGTAGACTATGAATTTGTTCAGTTAGTCGACAGA